GTTCTTATTTCACAACGTGAGTACTGCTGTCACTCACCCCATTGTCCATTCTATGCAAGCGTACTGATTTCGCTACCAGTATTGCCTCTAGGAGCTCAGCAGTCGCTTGTACATTTGTAGGAGCTCACCTCTCCTTTCTCTCTTCTAATTCATTGCATCTACGGCTTCCGAGAGCTCACCACGTCCACATCGACATACTTGCGTGCAAGGCAGTATGAGTACTTGCATTCGAGTCCGTTCATCGGACTCAGCTGTGATGAGAGCACTGACAGAGTCCGCGGCAAGCACATGATTGTTTTCGCTACTTTCATTCGTGACCGGCGAGTGGTCACCGAGTTTCTTGCTCTGCTGTCTGTCGAGAAGTGTGATGCTGCGTCCCTTCTTGCAGTGCTCCTAGCTCATCTGGAGAGCATCGGACTGGATCTGAACAAAGTTGCGGGAATCAGCACTGACGGAGCCGCTGTCATGATGGGCGCCACGGGCGGTTTGGTCGCGCGACTTCGTCTTCGCCTGCCTCATCTTGTCTCCTTTCATTGCAACCCCCATCGGTAAGTTCCTTGCGCATTTCATTGTTTCATTGTCCCTTCATTGTTACATTGTTGATGTTATGTTTCATTGTTCCTTTCGCATTGCTGATCATGTCTACATTGTTCTGTTTGGCAAGGAAGCCCTAGCTGCAAAGGACGCTGCTCGTGCCGCACCGGAGCTTGGCATCGTGGAACTCATTCTGAGGACCGTCGCCGAGCTACTGGGGAGGTCGCAAAACTGGCACATGCTGTTCAAGGAGCTGCAGGCGATCTTCTCAATGACGAACCTAGAGCTTCAAGGCATCCACCTTTTTAGGTGGCTCAGCCGTGGCATGGCTGTGCTTAGGCTTGCCGAAGTGCTACCCGCTCTGATTGTTGTCCTCCTGGAATACGACGCAAAGATGTATCACGTGGTTACATCTCTCAAATTTCACGTGTACCTGTTCTTCGTAGCAGATATTTTGGAGGAGCTGAACAACCTCAACTTGGCATTCCAGGCTCAAGAGGTAGGCCATGGCAATGTACGTATGCGTTAAAGTTTTTGGAAATCCTACTCACTACTCCCCTGTTTTTTTCGTACCTCCTCCCTTCCACTCAGGTGGAACTCACGGTAGTGGGATCTCTGGTCCAACGCACCTGTGTCTACATTCGTCAGCGCCATATCACATGTGGCGAGCGTTTTGGGGGTGACGGGAGCAAGCGCCTGGCCATATTTCTCTCGCGACATGGGTCGACCAACAGTCGCAAGGTGACCGTGGAGGGAGTTGACAAGGAAGGCCGGCCGCGAGTGCACCATTTCAAGATGCACGAGAAGGAGCTTCCGGGATACAGCGAGATCTGGGGGGATTTGGAGTCCTGCTTTGACCCTTGCAGAGTGTTCGCGAAAGCAGCAGCGGACAACTTGGGGTAGAGACTCGGCGACCTCGACAACTTGAATGGAGTGAGGCTGTGGATGCCTGATACTTGGCCCCGGAACACAGAGCCGCGAGATGAGCTGTGCGCGGTGCACTTGGAGTCGGTCATCGGCATGTTCCATACGGGTGACAAAAGAGAAGTGCTGCTATGTATGCCTCACATAGCTGCCGGGCTTTGAGCTTGCTGCCGGGCTTTGTGCTTTCTGTCAGGCTTGCTGTTGGACTTTGTGCTTGCTGACAGGCTTGCTGCCGAGCTTTGTGCTTGCTGCCAGGCTTGCTGCCGAGCTTTGTGTTTGCTGCCAGGCTGTGGAAGCCTGATACTCGTATATTTCACTTCCTTTCTTGTGCTGTGTGTGTGGCAGGAGTGGACAAGAGAGTAGCAAGGAAAGAGCTGAAGACCTTGGTGCCCGTGCTTCAAGGGGCTCCACGTGGAGAGCGCAGCTTTCATGATGACCTGGCGGCCATGCTGCAGACTAGTGACTGGCCCGAGAGCTACCCCAACTTGGTTCGCCTGTGGGTGGCTGTCGCTGTTCTCCCCATCAGCACTGTCGAATGTGAGCGAGGTTTCAGCAGGCAAAATATGATCAAAAGTTGGCAACGAACCACTCTCTGCAACGGCAAGCTGTCAGATCTCATGTGCACGAGCATGCTAGACTATGAAATGGATTGGGGCGCGGTTGTTGACCTGTGGCGCAAAACCAAGAAGCGCCGTCCCAGCAAGAAGAAGGAGCAGTCTCGTGTCCGCCCAAGGAGCGACAAGGGCAAGGAGAAGCAATGGCATATGTATCAGACAACGAGAGAGAGGAGGATGGTGGTGAGCCAGAGGATGATGATGGTGACAGTAGCTGTGGGTTTAGCTCTGATAATGAAGGAAATTTCTAATTTGATGTGTCTGAACTGTAATGAACGATATATTACTCTGCCAGACCGTGCGTGCGTATGTTTTATAAACATTGTGAGGTTGGTTGTAACGAAAAAGCTGCACTTTGAAAAGTGTCCTGTCAGCTCAGGGTCCTGTCTTGAAAATGCCCTGTGTGAACAGGGTGTGTATAGCGCTCAAATCCTGAGGGGTGCACGCTTTTCAGAGGGTGAACTCTGAGGGCTCAGGGTGCCTAAATTTGAATCTGAGGGCATGGTCGACAATATAGGCCGAACCTGTGAGTTCGAGGTCTTCGGGTGTACGCGTTGTTGTTTTGGCGCAGTGAGGGCGTGTCACTAAAGTACGTCCGATTACGGTTCGCAAATGTATTTTGCATTCTGGAACGGTCAATTAGAAATGTAGAACGGTTGAGTATGGTATTTTGCCAAAACTATTTTTAGTGACGCCCTAAGGAATGTTAATTCCTTACAAATATTGCCTCTGGATAACAATCCCTGTCTCAGTGCCAGCTGCCAAGTCCCCGTTCAAGCTGGCGTTTTTTATCACATCCATACAGACACTGTAGTCGAGCTGTTGTATTTGTCTGTTACGAACTGCAAGGATGACACTCCTGTTTTGTACTCTGCGATCTTGGGCACGGGACTGCTGCGGCGATGTACAGTATCTCAGATTCTTTTTGTTCCACATCGCTGCTGCATTTCCCTAACTGGTGGACTGGAATCACGTCCACGTGGAACCGTTGGCTGTATAAAGAATCGGATGAACGCTGACCACATCTCCGTCCCGTCGCCGTGTTTCGCTGCTCTTGTTCGCAATTCGAATAATTGCTGACCACTTACCTGTTCAATGGGAGCTGTATGGTAACCAATGGCCATTCGATTTCAGACCTCCCTGAACATGTAGCCGCACGATGTGGGGGGGGCTATCTCAAGTCACCAATCATACACAAGAGAAGTGCACAGGTGTTCCACCCTACGTGTGTACTCGATTGTTCAGGAGGTACCACAAACAATAGCCGACTAAAAGAAATAATGGTAGACGACAGACAGGGTTCAAGATGAACCCTGTTTTACAGTCAGCCTAATTTCAGAATTCCGCCCTCGGGGCTGTGTGGAAGGAGGACCCCCTGCCAAAGAAGACCCCCCTTGCCGTTACAGTACATACGGAAGTAAGTGAGGCAAAATCAATATTACTGTATGTATGAACGGGTGGGACCAGGGCTCTCGGCTCAAGGGTAAACATCCGGAATGTCAGATGCATTCTGTGTCTTTCCCGCTGAAATCCTGATTTCGAGGATTCCGGCCTCCCAAACCTCCTGGCTGATTCTAGACGTTTGCAAGGAAACCCCTGAGCAAGCCGGATTGCGCAAAATTTTGTCCGGGCTATCCTACTGGTATGGAAAAATACCCGTGCCGGAATTGCAGCCTCACGCATGACCAATTTTCCACGCAATCTGAAGGTGCGACCTGTGGAACTTTCACAGCCGCACAAGCGCAGGGCGATCAGACTAATCACACCCCTTTACCGGCTGCGCACAGGCCAGGTTGCGCACTGCCACTCTCTCTAAGTTCTATGCATTTCTGTCGCGATGGACAAGCAAAGTGTCGAACTTGGTGTGTTGGTGAGGGACAGCAGCAGCAGCAGGAAGCAAGAGTTTTGTGTTCACTTCCATCGTTTCTTCCATCCTTGTCCTTCCTGCTTTCTCGAACTGCCCAAAGGTTCTACTGATATGTAGGGCGTCCAAAAAACGCTCTGAATTTTACATTGAAAGTTCAAAGTCATCCTGAGGAGATTTCCCAGGGAATGCTGATTTTCCAGGGTCTTCAGTGACGCGAGTCCCGAGCCTGCTGGGTGTTGAAATGCGAAAAATTAACCCTGCGTGGGACTTGGGTCGAAGGACACAGTTGTTATGTGTACACTACAGTTTGGTCGGGGGAGGGAGAGATGCCCGCACAAGTGTTGAGCCAGCGATGGGAAAGGACAGAGCCAGTATGGTGTGTGTGCGGTGCGCTCCTCAAGGAGGCAGGCGGTCCGCCTGCGTCGCAGCGCAGGGGCTGCTCCAAGCAGATAAGACAGGCCGAGACGCTGGGTCGTTTTGTGGCTACGCTAACGCCCCTGGATTTCGCAGCACCCTTGTAGACACAAATGCACCCAAAATTAACCCACTCAGTCCAGCCCAACCTAGCGAAACCAATCACAAAATACAACCGCACTCAACCGTTGTTTTGTTTACAAAAAAACACCGTACAGAACCTGATTTTATCGTGCTGTACCGAGCATTTATGCTGTCATCCTCTTTCCTCCCCTGCTTCCCTCGTTCCAGCCCTCCGCCTCTTCCCCTCTCTCCCAAACCATCTCGGCCTCTCTTCGTCCCCTGTGTCCAACCTTCGAGGCTCAGGGCGTGGTGCAATACGCGGCTTGCGCTTTGCCTGGAGACCGCAACCTGGATTGCGTAATTGGCGAAACCACGAAGCCAATCAAAGCCCGCAAAATCCATCCTTCGCATGCTATGCGAGTTTTGGCGAACAGGTAACCAAGATAGGATGCGCAATTTGATGGGTTGCGCAACCTATGTACCACGCCCTCAGCCACCTCCAAGCGTTATTTCGTGCCCTCCCTCCCGCCAATTCGCGCAGAATCGGCGTCAGGTTTGTGTAGGATCACAGTTTCGCCGCATTGAAACATCTCGTTGGCCTCACTTCAGAAAACAGTTGAGGATTTTCACGTGCCTTGCCGTTAACTTGTCCACTCGTCAGCCCGAGTCTGCTAGCAACCGTCAGTCTCTCCTTTTCCACTTTTTCAAGTTAGGCGGGAGGCGTGCGGTGGTCCTAGACAGATAATTTTACTTCAGCACTTCCCTCTCTTGTAAGAAGTTCTAGCAAGCCACATACGAAAGGTCTTCGTGCATAGCTTTACGCCTTTTTTTAATATCGTCCTGCAACGTTACTTTCAGCCGCTCGAGAAACAGCCGGACACCCTCTTCCTTGGATAGTCTCAATTCCCGCCTACACCCTGTGTCATATCCCCCCTCTTCGTCCTCGCCGTTTTAAGTACAGCCTTGTCTAACACATAGTTCTTCCGAAGTCTTTTGCTACTTCCGTAGCTCTTCGGAAATCTTAGCCAGGTAGTTATCAACCAACTGTGACCGTCAGTTGCGCCTGAGTTGGCGCGAAAATGGCGGCTGTTGATTGGCTACGGCATGAGTCCGCCTTTCGGCGGCCTCCCGCTCCTTCCAGTCCCTCGCCGCGCGTCTCCTACCCGCAAGAATTCATCTGCCCGCTCTCCAACGAGGTGATGCGCGACCCCGTTATAATCAGCTCCGGTAAAAGCTTCGAGCGCGTCTACATCGAGCGCTGGTTCGCGCAAGGAAGAGCCACGTGTCCCAAAACCGGCCTGCCGCTCGCGCACCAGATGCTCACTCCCAACGACGCGCTTCAAAAGCTCATCTCTGATTGGTGTAAATCTCACATGATCACTCTCAAGCCGCTCCGTCCATCGAGCCCGCTGACGTCAGCCGGGGACAACTCGCGCGACCCGTCAGTTCCGCCGTCCCCCGCTTCCGGAGAGACGTTTGATCTCGCGAAGGCTCGGGCAGCAGCAGCAGCGGATCGCGCAGCCGCAGGTTCCGCCGGGAGTTCCGCCGCAGCCGCCGCCGCAGGAGTCGGCTCCGCGTCGTCAAGAATCTCCCCGCAGTCGGTGCTAGAGCGGCGTCACTCTCTGCAGTCTGATAGGGACGGCGGTTCGTCTACGAGCGGCTCGGCTTCAGGAGGCTCGGGCCCTGCCGCAGTAGAGACGCCTAAGAAACCGGCGACTTCCGCCGCCTCTGCCGTTTCCGCCGCATCCAACATGCCACCAGCCATTCCGAAGCATCTCCGGCCAAACGCGAACGACGGGCCCCTCGAACGGACGATGTCGCCTCGCAGGCGGGGCGACCAGTCGCCTGCGACTCCGTGCAACAACTCGGCGAGCCCGAAGGTGCTGTCGCGGAATCGCAGCGACCCGTGGGCGGCGTCCAACGACGAGGACGCGAAGAACGACGAAGCGCTCGGGTCGTTTCTGGCGGGAAACGTGGCGGGGGCGAGGTCTCAGCGTCAGGGCTCGCGCCGCGGAGCCGCGTCGCCGGAAGAGGTGGTGCCGTATTCGAAGCAGATCCTAAGCTCGACGCCGACTCGGCGAAGCAGGCGCACGAGCGAGCAGGGCTCAGTCACTGAAATGCGACCGTTGATCGACGCCCTAAGAACCGGCGACGTCGCACAGCGTCGCGAGGCGGTCCATGCGATGAGGCTCGCGCTGAAGGAGGCGCCGGAGAATCGCACGCGACTGGTCGCCGCGGGCGGCATCCGACCGTTGATGCAGATGCTGCTGTCAACGGACGGTCCGATCGTCGAGCAAGCGTCGGCGGCGACGCTGTACCTCTCCCTCCAGTGGGACGGCGCCATGGAAGTAGTGTCCGCCGGCGGCGTTAGGAACCTCGTCGAGGTTGTAAAGACATCGCGCGGCGGATTGTGCTTGACCCCGAGGGGGGCTAATGTCGGAACCCCCGATACAAGCAACGGTTTGTTGCTGAGCCCCGGACCTGGAGGGGCGTTCGAGGCAACGGAGGTCGCGAAATCGAACGCTGCGGCGGCGCTGTTCGCGCTATCGAACGCGGAGGAGAACAAGAAGGTTGTCTGGTCGGCTGGTGCTGTTCCGCCGCTGATTAATCTCCTCCGAAAGGCGACGTGCATGCGGACCAAAAAAGATTGCTGCCTCGCGCTTTACAACCTGGCTTTGTTTCCGAAAGCTGCGGAAGACGCGATTAAGCACGGGCTGGTTCGGCAGGTTTTTGCGCTGCTGGAAGGGGAGGAAGAGCCGGGAGTGGAGGAAAAAGCGGCGGTGCTTCTTTGCGCGTTAGCTAAATACCCGCAGGGTATCTACGCGCTGAAAAAAGAGGAGGAGGTGGAATTTACCCTGATTGGGGTAATGGAATCTGGGTCAGAAAAAGCGGCGGAGCTTTCGGCGGGGACGCTACTTTCATTGGCGAAAGCCGATGGCGAAGAGGCGATGAGTGAAATGCTCGGCGAAGGCTGCTTGCCGCCGTTGGTGAAACTCGCGGGGAACAGCAAGCCCGGTTCGGATTCGCGAGCGTTGCTGGCGATGCTTCGCGAGTTCGCCCAGATCAGGTCGGGAAACAGTAGCAGTGTAGCTGGCAGCCAGCCTGGCACGCCCATGGCAGGGAGCAGGCCAACCACACCTCTGGGCCGCGGAATGAGATGACCGATGGGCCGAGGAGCCGGGAGTGGGAGAAGCGGCAGGATGCGGCACCAAGGGGTTGGGAAGGGTTGAGAGGACTGGGGCAGAAAAAATGGGAAGGTTGAAGGCTTTCATGTTTCACACATGGAAGCAGGGTGAGGGAAGTTCGGAAAGGAGGTGCTGGAGCTTGGATGTGAAGACTGCACCTGAGTTTCGGCCTGGAATAGCTGCATGGGACAAATTAGGAGGGGAACATGAGGGGTAAAGGGGGGGCAAAGGAGGGGGAAAGGAGAGGGGAAGGAGGGTACAAAGCTGGGTGGGGCAGGGATTGCCTAGGAATAATTTCTGTTGCAATGGTCAAGGGAAGAGGAATTTAGCAGCCTGGGTGCATTTCTGATATGAACCACATTTGCTTTGAACTATGCGCAGGGCATCTCTCTAGCTAAATTGCAGGGCTACTCTAATCGTCAGTAAATGTTAGATTTTCAATACAATTTTCTTTCCTGGACTAAAGGTACCGCCATGCTCTGTTTCTGTTCTGACATGCATGCACCCGCAACTCCAGACTACCTCAAGGATCTCTTGCTTTTGAGCATTCTCAAAAGCCCTTGTTTGCTGATACCGTACGCCACACCAGCAAGGGGAGCATAAAAGGGGAATGCATTTTCATTGTATGGATTTGTACGCTGGTTTCATGAAGAAGTGAATTCTGGCCTTGTAGTGAGGGCTGCTCATGGTGAAGCAGGTGAATTTGAGACGAGGGCATCCTCAGGGGTCGTTTACACTCGAGGCAGTTTCTGGTTCTGGTTCTGGTTCTGGTTCTGGCAGGGATTGTTTACCCTCGGGTTCTCGTTCCAGCCACAACGCGACGGCAGAGATTTGAATGTTCTTGTTGTCGCGAGCTCGGCGCGGTTCGGTCGTAATTGGGCTACTTTGAATGCGCCCTCAGCTTGCGGTTCCAGTGGTTCTGGAGTCAGAAATTCACCGAAGCGTTTCGCCATGTCTTCTTTAGTTGCCCCCTGAATTCGCGAAGCGCTTTGTCATTCAAGTTCTCGTGGCTGCCGGGCCGCCCTCCTCCAGTGCCTCACATAGTAGTAGTGAACGCTTGTCAGACGCGTCGCGGAAGATGAAAGCTACCATAGATCCTGTCGTTCCGAAGGGCTCCTCGACTACGATTGACCCGAAGGCCAACATAGCTACAAATGACCTGAGCTTTAGATCCTCTAAGCTAGTAGCTGTAGCTGCTGCCGTTCTTGTCGCAGTAGCTGCGATCGCTGCAGCGTTTGTATCAATTCCCGGCGGATTGGGGACTAAAGACGTGAATTTCGCTCTTCAACCGACTCGGAATGACCAGGAATTCCGACACGTGGAGGGGGCGGGTCCCGGGATTGGGGCGAGCGGGATTGTTTTTTACGTAGACAGGCTTCAGGAGCAGGTAGGCTGGGATGAATCAGGGGGTGTTTTTTAGAATTCTCAAAACACCCTGGAACACAAGGACAAAGAAAAAAAAAAAGAATCTCAGTGAAGTGAAGTGTCACCAGTCGTTGACATGAGGACAGGCTTCAGGAGGGGAGGTAGGCTGGAGATGCCTTTCCCGCCCCCCCAACCCCCCGCTTCCTTTCCCGCCCCCCCACTCCCCCGCTTCCTTTCCTCGCACCGGCGCGTTCTGCCCTGCCTGCCTCCCATCTCAGCTCCGGCACCTCGCCACCTTCCCCTATGGTGTGTTGTCACTCAAGGCTCGCTCTCCCTTTCAAAGGAGCATGTCGCTCCTCTGCTTCTGCTCCATTACTCTCGATTACGCACCCTCCCCTCCTCCCCTCCCTCCCCTCCCTCCCCTCCCTCCCCTCCCTCCCCTCCCGCCCCTCCCGCCCCTCCCTCCCCTCCCTTCCACCTCAGATCGACCACCTCGCCACCTTCTCCAATGACGAGCCGCCAGCTGTCACGCGGGTGCTGTTCACAGAGAACGATGTGAAGGCGAGAGAGTGAGTGGGAGAGTGGGGGAGTGCGGGAGTGAGGGAGTGAGAGAGTGAGGGAGTGAGGGAGTGAAGGAGTTTGCCGCCAGCTGTCACACCTTCGTTGTTCACAGGGAACGACGTGGAAGCGAGAGAGTGAGTTGGGTAGAGAGTGCGTGTGAGGGAGTGAGCAAGAGAGTTCGTGAGTGAGTGAGTGAGTGAGTGCGTGAGTGAGGGAGTAGGATTGACCCATGATTCTCCACTGGGCCACTGGGCGACTGGAGGGAGAGTGCAGTGATTCTCCGCCGGGCCACTGCAAGGAAATGCGATTGTAATAAGTCGATTTCTCGCGTTTTAAACAGGGGTACCTTTTTACCTACTGTCACTCTTTTTGCGAAAGTTTTTTCTCCTCGCTGCAGCCCACCCTAACGCTTAATGGCTACGAGTTCAGTGATTCTCTACCGGGCCACTGCAAGGAAATGCGATTTGATTCGTCTCAGAAGGATTGAGATACGACGCTTTTTTCCTGCCTTGTCTGTAGTGGTGCTGCGCTTGTTTTTTTTTTTTTTTTTTTTTTCCTCCTGCTTGTTTCATCTTGTCATGCTTTTTCATTTTTGCTACTTTACAGATGTGCCATAGATCATCCCTCATAATCTGTTTGGACGTAGTTGATCGGCTCGTACATCATCAGTACAGTCGACTAAAATGCTAGCGTCATCTCTCCTAGAATGATTTTAGCCATCTTCTCTCACTCACATTTTTTGCTATTTTCTTTTGAACTATAATGTCATTTTTTTTCCCAGCTATGTCGAGTCTCTTATGAGGGAATCGGGGCTCATTGTAAGAAAGGATGCGATTGGCAACATTTTTGGAAGATGGTAAGTTGCCATTCTCACAAATCCCGTGATTGGTGATTGTATTTCCATCCGTCCACACTCATGGTCCTGGGAAGAGCAGCAGGGTACGAAGTTAGTCGCTTGAGCAGAAAGAACCAGAGTAAAAAAATCCTCGGCAAGAGAATAGCTCGAAGATGGTATGTTTCCATTCTCACAAATCCCATGCTGCTGATAACGGTATTTCCGCCCGTCCATACACTCGTCTTCCACCGCCCGCCGTTCACGCCTCATGTGTCCCCTCTCCTGTCCCTCACAAGAAAGGGTGAAGGACAGGCGAGGCACCTCAAGGGTGAAGACTAGCTGTTGCGCCTCCCGGACTTTCCTTTTCCTCTTCATCTTCCATCGCCCCCCGGTTCACACCTCGCACCGTTCTTGTCCATCGTAACTGTTTCCAGGGCACCTCAAGACGAGCTGTTGCGGCTCCTGAACTTCCCCGTGTTTTGTTCCCTATTTGTTTCTTGTTTTGTTTTTTTTTTTCCTGTTTTTTTTCGTCACTCAAGTGCAAGCGCCTCAAAACTAGCCCATTATCCTCCCCCCTATCATCGTGTCTCCCATCTCCCTTCTCCCCGTCAGGGAGGGCTCCAATGAGTCGCTGCCAGCTGTCATGACAGGGTCGCACACAGACGCAATCCCACTGGCTGGGAAGTTCGATGGGGTGGTGGGCGTGCTTGGCGCTATCGCCGCTGTTCAGGCTTTGAAATCGTGAGAGTCGTTCCTCTTCCTCCTCCCCTTCAGCTTAGGGTTTGGCTGGGAAGTGCGACGGGGTGGTCAGCTTGATTGGCACAAGTGCTGCTTTGGTGGCATCAAGAGGAGCAGCACTTGTCCCTCCTAGCGGACTCATCAAGAGGACTCGTCCCATCGTTCTTGAGACGACTCATCACAGCTTCACTCGTCCCTCCTAGCGTTTCCCTCATCTGCTCCCTTGTGTGTTTCTGCCTTCCCTCTTTCCCATCCCTCCCCCTCTTCCTCCCCCCCCCCCACTTCCCCTTCCACTTCCCCTTCCCCCTCCCTTCCCACCCCGTTCCTCTTCCCATTCTACTCTAGCAGTGCTGTCCCCCCCCCCCCCCCATCGCCCAATATTAGTGCTCGTGTTCACATCAGAACCTATGTGTCTCCCCCTCCCCCCTTGTATTCCGATGGCTGGCTCCCCCCCCCGCATCGCCCAATAGTAGTGTTCGTGTCCACATCAGTGGAGCCAAGAGGGCTTACCCCCTCCTCCCCCAACCCCTCCTCTTCCCCACTCCCCATTCCCCATTCCCCATTCCCCACTCCCCATTCCCCACTCCCCATTCCCCACTCCCCATTCCTCACTCCCCATTCCCCACTCCCCATTCCCCACTCCCCATTCCCCACTCCCCACTCCCCACTCCCCACTCCCCATTCCCCACTCCCCACTCCCCACTCACATCAGAGGAGCCAAGAGGGCTTATGTGTGCCCCCCCCCACCCACCCGTGTTCCGATACACACGCCTTTATGGCTGGTTTCTCCCCCCATCGCCCCATAGAGGTGCTCATGTTGCCACCAGAGGAGCCAACTCGGTTTGTTGCCCCACCCTTGGCCGCCCCCCCATCCCCCCCCCACCCCACCCCTCCTCTGTACATGGCGGGGTTCTCCCCGCATCGCCCCATAGAGGTGCGCATGTTCACATCAGAGGAGCCAACTCGGTTTGGTTCCCCACCCTCCGCCGCCCTTGCCAATCCTCCGTCCCCCCCCCCTCCCCCCCACCCCACCTCTCCTCTGTACAGGGCGGGGTTCTCCCCCCATCGCCCCATAGAGGTCCTGATGTTCACATCAGAGGAGCCAACACGGTTCGGCATAGGCTGCTTGGGCAGGTGGGTCGTGGGGGAGGTGCTTTCTTGGGGAGTTGGGTTGAATCTCACTTACGTGCTACCTTTGGATGTCCTCATGTTCACATCAGAGGAACCAACTCGGTTTGGCATAGGCTGCCTGGGCAGGTGGGTTTTGTTGAGCGTGTGTGCTGGAACAGGGAGGGTGGGTCTGGGGCGGGTGCTTTCTAGGGGTGCTCATGCTCGCATTGGGGTAACCTACTCGCTTTGGCATAGGCTTTTCTGGGCAGGTGGGTTGGGTTAGGTCAACGGTGGATTTTTTTAGAATTCTCGAAAATCTCTCGGCAGGTGGGTTGGGTTAGGTAGGTCAGCTCAGCGGGGGGCCATAGCTGAGCTGATAGTGTGCTTGCTAGGGGCAGGCGGGTGTGGAAAGGAGACTTTTGAGTCGACTCAAAAGTCACCTCAGAGCTGAGCTGATAGTGTGCTTGCTAGGGGCAGGCGGGTGTGGAAAGGAGACTTTTGAGTCGACTCAAAAGTCACCTCAGAGCTGAGCTGATAGTGGCTTGCTAGGGGCAGGCGGGTGTGGAAAGGAGACTTTTGAGTCGACTCAAAAGTCACCTCAGAGCTGAGCTGATAGTGGCTTGCTAGGGGCAGGCGGGTGTGGAAAGGAGACTTTTGAGTCGACTCAAAAGTCACCTCAGAGCTGAGCTGATAGTGTGCTTGCTAGGGGCAGGCGGGTGTGGAAAGGAGACTTTTGAGTCGACTCAAAAGTCACCTCAGAGCTGAGCTGATAGTGTGCTTGCTAGGGGCAGGCGGGTGTGGAAAGGAGACTTTTGAGTCGACTCAAAAGTCACCTCAGAGCTGAGCTGATAGTGTGCTTGCTAGGGGCAGGCGGGTGTGGAAAGGAGACTTTTGAGTCGACTCAAAAGTCACCTCAGAGCTGAGCTGATAGTGTGCTTGCTAGGGGCAGGCGGGTGTGGAAAGGAGACTTTTGAGTCGACTCAAAAGTCACCTCAGAGCTGAGCTGATAGTGTGCTTGCTAGGGGCAGGCGGGTGTGGAAAGGAGACTTTTGAGTCGACTCAAAAGTCACCTCAGAGCTGAGCTGATAGTGTGCTTGCTAGGGGCAGGCGGGTGTGGAAAGGAGACTTTTGAGTCGACTCAAAAGTCACCTCAGAGCTGAGCTGATAGTGGCTTGCTAGGGGCAGGCGGGTGTGGAAAGGAGACTTTTGAGTCGACTCAAAAGTCACCTCAGAGCTGAGCTGATAGTGTGCTTGCTAGGGGCAGGCGGGTGTGGAAAGGAGACTTTTGAGTCGACTCAAAAGTCACCTCAGAGCTGAGCTGATAGTGGCTTGCTAGGGGCAGGCGGGTGTGGAAAGGAGACTTTTGAGTCGACTCAAAAGTCACCTCAGAGCTGAGCTGATAGTGTGCTTGCTAGGGGCAGGCGGGTGTGGAAAGGAGACTTTTGAGTCGACTCAAAAGTCACCTCAGAGCTGAGCTGATAGTGTGCTTGCTAGGGGCAGGCGGGTGTGGTATGGAGTGCTGGCAATAGGTGCACAGTTCTGTTACTTTGACACGTCATTGCTAAGCGAAAGGGACATTTCCGCTCGCACAACCCTCCCCCAGTCACTACCCTCTCCTGGCCCATTTCCTTGTCATCCCACCCTGTTGCATGCTTGCCAACCTGACCGGCTACGTCGACCGCCTACTGCCTCAACCCCCCTATCGCGTTCCTCCTCGCTTTTATTGATAATTCCTAACCCCATTCCCTCTCGACTTCCCACCCAGTCGCATGCTTGCCAACCAAACTGGCTACGTCGACCGCCTGTTGGCGCTACAGGACAAAGACGGACAGCCGTTTGCCGAGGCTGCTGCCCAGGCTGGATTTGGAGAGGCTCGGGATGCAGGTTCGGTGGCAGCAGTGGCTTTGGGTCGGGAACAAGTGGGGGCTTTTGTGGAGCTTCATATCGAACAGGGGCCGATACTGGAAGAAAAAGGTTTGTATAAGTATACATATCTATTCATTCATACGCATGAAACATTGACATATATACAAATATTTATAAACATCAGCAAGGCAGGATATCGGGATAATGACATTGATGGTCGATCCATGCACATTTATATATATATGTATTAGATCATATATATGTATAGACATGATCATGTGTGAATACATATATTTTTCTGTGCCAGCAATAGCAGCGCCAGCGGCATGACTGGTTATGTGTCATTTCGCTTGTTTCATGTCCCTCCTGCATGCGTCTTCGTGCATGTGTGCGTACGCAGGGGAGGATATCGGCATTGTGACTGCAATAGCAGCGCCAGCGACATTGATGGTTGATTTCAGTGGAGGGGGGGGGCATGCCGGTGCGCTGCTGATGAAGCACAGGTGAGGGGTGAGAGAGGGTTCAAGGGTGGGGGGGAAGATGAGGGGGTGGGCAGGTCTCTCAGATTCAGAGCTCAGTGGAGGGGGAGGGCATGCCGCTGTGCTGCAGATGACGCACAGGTGAGGGGTGAGTGGGGAAGGAGCGGAGGGGGTGTTGAGAGTCCTCAAGCCAGATCCAGAGTTCAGTGGAGGGGGAGGGCATGCCGCTGCGCCGCTGATGAAGCACAGGTGCGAAATCTAGGTGATCAATAAAATAAAATTGTAAGCTTCTCATTGGTATTGTCAAGATGGTGAGCATGGTGGTCGATCTCAGGGGAGAGGGGGGGAGGGGGGTAGGGAGGGGGCAGTGAGTGCCCGTGACGCGCAGGTGAGGAGTCCAAGATGGTGAGCATGGCAGTCAATATCAGGGGAGAGGAGGGGAGGGGGGGGGGGTGGGGGGCAGTGCCCGTGACGCACAGGTGAGGAGTCCAACGAGTGAGTATTGACAGCGACATGTGGGTTAGCGGGGCGGGTGAGCGGGGGGGGGGGGAGACTGCAAAGTGACTGACAGCGATGGCGGCACCAGCGACAGGTGTGGCGGATTATTGTGGAAGGAGGAGGGGGAGGAAGGGGGAAGGGGGCACTCCTGCGGAAAGGGCGCCCCTGGAGGAAGGGGCAGGCCTTGCGGGGTGCGCAGGTGGTGCAGCTCAGGTGGGTAGCATTTGACTTTTGAGGCGCCTCAAAAGGGGTGCGCAGGTGGTGCTGCTCAGGTGGGTAGCATTTGAACGCAGCAAGTAGGGTGGGCAGAGAGTGCTGCTGGTGGGCAGAGAGTGCTGCTGGTGGGCAGAGAGTGCTGCTGGTGGGCAGAGAGTGCCCAGCAGAAGAGTGCCCAGCAGAAGAGGCAATAGCAGCGCCAGCAACAACATTGGTGGTCGATCCATTGCCTCCCCCCCCTCCGCACCCCACCGCTCCCCCTCGCACCCCATCGCTCCCCCTCGCACCCCACCGCTCCCCCTCCTGCCTATGCCAGGAATGCTGCCGGGCTGGCAGCCTGTGGAGGCTGCAGTGCTGCTCCGCTATATGTTCCCTCTCCCTCCTCACTATACCACTATATCTATGCCCTCCTCCCCCCTCACTTACCACTATATCTATGCCCCCCTCCCCCCTCACTACCACTATATCTATACCCCCCTCCCCCCTCACTATACCACTATAACTATGCCCCCCTCCCCTCTTATTATACCACTATATCTATACCCCACCCCCCCACCACACCACCAACTAATGGGCCAGGCATGATACAGGGCTGGCGGCTGCAGAGCTCTGATTGGCCGTAGAGGTTGCTGTGCTAGTCCATTCACTATTTCTCCACGCCCAACCCCCCAACCCCTATGCCAGGAACGATGCTGGGCTGGCAGCTGCTGAGCTCGCATTGGCTGTAGAGGCTGCTGTGCTGGCAACTAAGGCTGACGACACTGTGGGGACCACAGGTATACCATGCAAGGCGATATTATACTCTACATGCAATGCTATGTTTGTTTTGTATGACAATGAATGTATGCATTTCCTTATTTTATACTACATGCTCTGTGCTATGTAATTGCAAGTTTTAGGCGATATTTAATCCTATGTTTTTATGCTTTCATCCATAGTACGTGTAACAACATGTGTATTTCACCCCTATGGACGGAATGCTATGTTTTCTAATCCCTCCCACTCCGCCCAGCCCATCTCGTTCAACCCGACGTAGTGGACAGTGTGCCCCACCGCGCCATCTCCTCACCGACTTTTGAGTCGACTCAAAAGCAATGCCCCGCCTCGCCAGCTTGCAGGCAACTTCTCCATGCGACCTCTCAGCTTCAGAGAGCCCCTCTCAATACCCCCCCCCTTCTCCCCCCCCTCGGCCCCCAGGCCCCTCTCCCCTCTCAGCCATCTCGTTCTCCAACCCAACGCAGTGAACAGTGCTCCTAACGCATCCCCCACAACAAGTACCCTTCCCCCCGGTGCCCGTTTCCCCCCCTCCATAACGCCCCTCTCTCCAGGCCACCTCGTGCTTCAGCCCAACGCGGTGAACAGTGTCGCTCCCACGTCCCCCACGATCACCCGTCTTCTCTCCCCCCCACCCTCCCGCCCCCCCTTCTTTTTGCTCCATAACGCCCCTCCCACCAGGCCACCTCGTGCTTCAGCCCAACGCGGTGAACAGCGTCCCTCGCCATGCCCACATGGAGATAGGTGAGTGAAACGCCAGCATGGTTACCAGCATGTGTACCAGCATGGTTACCAGCATGTGTACCAGCATGGTTACCAGCATGTGTACCAGCATGGTTACCAGCATGACCCCCAAAAGCGGCAGTGAACAACTTGCCCCGCCATGCCCACACGGAGATAGGTGAGTTTTTCGAGGAGAGGGGAGTGGGGAAAAGGGGGGAGGGGGGAATCTAGTTTTGAGGCTCCTCGAGATTTCAGCTTAACGCGGTGAACAGCGCAGCGTGCCCCCCGCCATGCCCACATGGAGATAGGTGCGTTTGACTTTTGAGGTGACTTTTGAGTCGACTCAAAAGTCACCTCATGCCCCCCGCCATGGAGATAGGTGCGTGAGGCGTGCAGGTTGGAGTGGGGTCGTGGGTCATGGGGCAAACGCACACCCCACCGCACATTGTCCGTTGTCCCAACGCATTGAACTGCATGCCCCGCCGCGCATTGCGCTTCATTCAGCCCTACGCAGTGGACAGTGTGAATCGCCCCGCCGTGCCCACGTGGAGATATGTGAGCGAAGTGTGCGTTGGAAAGCCGGAAGTGGGAAGTTGGAAACCCCAGCAAATGACTTCTGAGTCGACTCAAATGTCAAGTTGGAAACCCCAGCAAATTTAGTTTTGAGGCGCCTCAAAAGGAAAGTCGGAAGTGGGAAGTCGGAAACCCCAGCAAATTTTCCAGCGCAAACTTAAAGCGAGGGTCTCAAGAAGCAGAAAACCAAATCCATAAGGTTTTGGTTTTGGGTTGACGAACTTTGCGAAACAGTTACAGCGCCCAACCAGCACCCCTTGCCACACCTCGCAATTTTCGAGACCCCCCGAAACCAAAGCCTCTGGGTTTGGTTTTTTGCTTCTTGAAACCCTCGCTTTAAGGGCAGCTGCGAACAGTGTGCCCCACCACGGCCATTTGGAGATAGGTGAGTGTTTTGAGGAGAGTGGAGTGGGGAAGGGGAGGGGTGTAAGAATGGGAAGTGTAGAGTGGATCGGCGAGTGAAGGTCAGTGGAGGATGGCGAGTGGTGCAAGCATCAGGGACATTGACGAGACAAGGCAATATGGGGAGGTGCTGGCTGCTGGCAGAGCTGCCCCTCCTGCGCCCACCGTCCTTCGCCCACCCTCCTTCGCCCACCCTCCTTTGCCCACCCTCCTTCACCCACATCTCACCCCGTCTCCCCACCTCCCCTCGCTCTTGCCGCTGCTGCAGACATACGAGACATTGACGAGGCGAGGCGGGATGGTGTGGTGTTAATCACTAGCCGACGCCCTCCCCCCTCCCCCTCCCTCTTCCCCCTCCCCCCCCCCGCCACCGCGGCGCCTCAAAACTAGACTCCTGCCGCTGCTTGCAGTTGCAGATATAGTTTTGAGGCGCCTCAAAGCTAGACTCCTGCCGCTGCTTGCAGTTGCAGATATACGGAACTTTGACTGGACTAGGCGGGATGGGGGGTGGTGTCACCTCTCCTGCTTGCAGACATACGGGACATTGACGAGGCGAGGCGGGACAGGGTGGTTTCGACAGTCATCATAGCCCGTGCCCCTCTTTCCCCTGTTCCCACTTGACATGTCCCATCTCCTGCTTGCAGACATCCGGGACATCGACGAGGCGAGGCGGGATGGCGTGGTGTGAATTACTAGCCAACGCCCCCCCCCTTCTGCCCCCTTTCCCCCCCCTTCTGCCCCCTTTCCCCCCCTTCTGCCCCCTTTCCCCCCCCTTCTGCCCCCTTTCCCCCCCCTTCTGCCCCTTCCCCCCCCCCCTTCTGCCCCCTTTCCCCCCCCCGGCCCCTTCCCCCCCCCTTCTGCCCCCTTTCCCCCCCCCCGGCCCCCTTTCCCCCCCCCCGGCCCCCTTTCCCCCCCCGGCCCCCTTTCCCCCCCCCGGCCCCCTTTCCCCCCCCCGGCCCCATTTCCCCCCCCCGGCCCCCTTTCCCCCCCCGGCCCCCTTTCCCCCCCCCGGCCCCCTTTCCCCCCCCCGGCCCCCTTTCCCCCCCCCCGGCCCCCTTCCCCCCCCCCCGGCCCCCTTTCCCCCCCCCCCCGGCCCCCTTTCCCCCCCCCCGGCCCCCTTTCCCCCCCCCGGCCCCCTTTCCCCCCCCGGCCCCCTTTCCCCCCCCCGGCCCCCTTTCCCCCCCCCCCCGGCCCCCTTTCCCCCCCCCGGCCCCTTTCCCCCCCCCGGCCCCCTTTCCCCCCCCGGCCCCCTTTCCCCCCCCCGGCCCCCTTTCCCCCCCCTGTTACCTCCCCGCACTCTTGCTGCTGCTGCAGACATCCGGGACATTGACGAGGCGAGGCGGGACGGCGTGGTGTCGACAGTCATGGGAGCAGCAAGGAGAATCGCAGCCAGACGGGGGGTGAAGCTGGAGAGGTGAGGGATGAAAGAGAGGAGGCGGGGTATCACATGGTAGCGGGATGGCGTGGTGTGGGCTGTCATGGGAGCAGCAAGGAGCATCACGGCCAAACGGGGGGTGAAGCTGGAGAGGTGAGGGGCACACGCTAATGAGGGACACGTGGGCGGGGGTGAGGGTTTAAGGTCTGGGGCTTTGGTGTACCGGGATGGCGTGGTGTGGGCTGTGATAGGAGCAGCAAGGAGCATCACGGCCAAACGGGGGGTGAAAGCTGGGTGAAAGCTGGAGAGGTGAGGGAGACACGAGAATGAGGTGAGCGGCACCAGGGTTCATTCAGGGTATGGCAGTATGGGAATGGTGGGTGGGGCGGCGGCTGTCATGGGAGCAGCAAGGACAAACGCTTTATAGAATGGCTCGTTTGTGCAACAAATGTCAACCGTTATAGAATGCTTCGCCAAAGAGGATGGTCAGGCAGAACAGAACATTCTCGTTAAAGTGAGGAGATTCTGTTATTAGTCTTTTGAGTCGACTCAAAAGCCATCTCTTCCCCCTCTTCACTCCTGCTGCCCCCGTTGTTGTCACCTCTTTCTGAGGCGCTTCTTCTTGAGGAGTCTATTTTTGAGGCGCCTCAAAAATAGACTCCCCGTTGTTGTCACCTCTGTCTGCCCTCCTCTCGTCTGCTTCTCTTCTTTACCATTTCCCCTCCTTCCAGTTTTTCTCTTCTCCCTCACCCTCGTCCCCAGTGCATTCCTCGGCTCCCCCTCCCCCCCCTTCCCTCTCCTCTCCCTCCCTCCCTCCCTCCCTCCCTCCCCCCCCACCCACTCACCCCCTTTTCCCAACCTCTGGTCAGAATGGAGTTGGTGAATGCCGACCCACCCGCCCGTTGCAGCAGCATGGTGACGTCAGCTATTTCGTCTGCAGTGGATGAGCTTGGGCTGAGCCACCGGCGCATGGTCAGCCGGGCGTATCACGATGCACTGTTCATGGCGCGGTAGGGTACTGGCATGGCAGGGTGACTGTTCTCTGGTGTACTGCTAATGGTTACAAATGGTCAGCCGGGCTTTTGATGATCTTCCAAAACCCTAACTCAGCCGGGGATGGTTTGTGGTTCGTTCCACGATGCACTGTTCATGGCATCGTATGCTTAGTGATCATGAGTACTGTTCATGGTTCGTGATTTACTGTTCGTGAGAAGGTGGCTTGTTGTTCAAGAAATAGGAATAGGTGATACTGTTCATGGATTACTGTTTGCGTTTAGGCGCTTCGGAAATTGAATGTGCTTCCCTTCCCTTTCCCCCTGCTTCGCTGTCAATTACACATTCACGCCTTTCCATTCCAATTACACATTCACGCCTTTCCATTCCAATTACACATTCTCGCCTTTCCATTCCAATTACACATTCACGCCTTTCCATTCCAATTACACATTCACGCCTTTCCATTCCAATTACACATTCTCGCCTTTCCATTCCAATTACACATTCACGCCTTTCCATTCCAATTACAGGGTGGCACCAACAGGCATGATCTTCATTCCTTGCAGAGGAGGTGAGTGCAGTGTCTTGGGAAAAGAAGGAGAGAAACAAATCGTAGGGAGCGAGAACAGAAGGGTTTGATCCAATCTGTTTATAGCCACAAGGTGGCACCAACAGGCATGATCTTCATCCCGTGCCGAGGAGGTGAGCTCAGTTTCTTGGGGAGAGGAGGAGAGAATACAAAATGGTAGGGAGCGAGAAATGAAGGGGTTGATTCTATCCAATCTGTTTATCGCCATAAGGTGGTACCATCTGGAATGATCTCTTCATCCCTTGCCGAGCAAGTAGGGTTGATTCGTGAGCAGGTAAGAGTTCTGTCGTTTAAAGGTAACGGTGGTTGTGAGACTTCGCTCAAACACGGGGTGGCACCAACTGGCATGATCTCTTCATCCCTTGTTTTAAAGATAAGATCCACTCAGAAATGAGCTTAGTTGCTCTCTCTGACGCTTCTTTTCCTTCTCTTCTCCCTCAGGTGTGAGCCGCAGTTCAGACGAGTTCACCTCAACGGCCAACCTAGCCAATGCTACTGCTGTGCTCGCTCGTACCCTCCATCCCTCTTTCTCTCTTCCTCTCTCCATCATTCAGTTCTCCCCTCAGGTGTGAGCCACAGGCCAGACGAGTTCACCTCAAAGGCCCACCTGGCCAACAGTGTCCGTGTGCTTACTTTGACCCTCGCACTGCTTCTGCCTCCTTCCTCTGCTCGCTTGTACTCCTCGTTTCTCCCCCAAGGTGTGAGCCACAGGCCGGACGAGTTCACTTCAAAGGCCAACCTGGCCAATGGTGTGCGTGTGCTCGCCCTGTCCCTCCCTCCCTTTCACTTCTTTTCTCCCTCTCACCCCACCCCACCCCACCCCACCCCCGCAGGTGTGAGCCACAGGCCGGACGAGTTCACTTCAAAGGCCAATCTGGCCAATGGAGTGCGCGTGCTCGCTCTTACCCTCGCCAAGCTCTCGCTACAATGACAGCTGCCTGTGACGATAACTAGTGCACTCCAACAGCCAATCACGGGTCTGGTCTGACAGGTTGACTCATATGAGGTGCTCGCCCTTACCCTCGCCAAGCTCTTGCTGCTGTGACGCCAAGGGTTCGCCTGCCTCTTCAGAAATCTCGCCCCAATGTACAGTGTACAGTTTTTTTATCCAGCCATGTTGACTCATACACAGATACAATACTGTCAGAAACTGAGAACTTGATTGATTGAATGAGCAAGAGCATACATCCTTAAGTACCGAGTATCGGAGAGGATGGGAAGGGATAAGGGAGAATCGGAGGGAATCCCAAGGGAATCCTCCCAAATCGTGGGGATTTGGGATGGATTGGGTTGGGATAGGTTGGGGATGAAAACAAAGCTACCCTAAAACCAAATTACTAACACACAAAGTTGTGCCAACCGCAGCCTATCTCCAACACACCCCCTAGGTTGTAACATCAGGTATCAACGGCCGAGTCCTGAATATCCTGTGCCTCAACATGGTTGAGCTGGCACATGCGAGGGGCAGCTTGGAGTTGATCCCATTCTTGGTGAACCACTCGTCGTTCTTCTTCTTGAAGCAGGTGGCGAGTGGGTGATTGGTGCCGCCACAAACCTGACCCGCACGCGGTCCCATGTTGATGACGTAAGGACAAGGTGGGTAGCGGTTACGGGTGGGTGGTGCATTAGGACGGGATGCTGGAGCCAGGACAGGAGCGCGAAGTGCATTTGCTCGAGCCTGCGCAGTGTTGTCACTTTCAGCAAACAGAAGTGCGGAAGAGACCTTGGCAAATGTTAGCTCTTCTGGTGGGAGATGGAGAAGCATGGAGTGGGTGGCATTGTAAGACGGGGTTAGCCCAACAACCAGAGCTGCTGCAGGGTCTTGCTCTGGGAAGTCAATGCCGAGTTGCTTCAGCTCCTGAAGGATCCCTTGAATCTCAACGACATAATATGTCATTCTAGGGCACTCCTCCATGCTACCTTGAAACATGCGGAGGATGAGGATCGCCACCCCTACATCGGTTTTGTTGAGGAATCAATCGTTGAGATACTCCCAAATGGCATGGGGGAAGGGTAGTTATGATATGTTTTGACGAGCTCGGAAGGGGTAGTGCTGACAAAGACGCCGATGACAGCAGCGTCGGCTTGCTCCCACACGCTGTAAGATTCCTCATGCGCCTTGGTCTCTTCCTCAGTGGCCGTGGCCGAGAGCTTCTTGGGAAGGACCGGCATCTTTCCTCAAGTGCCACGGAAAATCGATATGAAATGCCGATCTGTTGCTGCAATCCCGCTACTCCGCGGCCCCCATTTTGTCCGCTTCGCCACTGCCCCCTTTTCGCTTCGTCGCTGCTCCCTTTCCACTTTGCCGCTGCACCCCCCCGCTGTTGCAAGGGCGACGGGCGGCAGCCCGTTCACGTTCGACAAGCAGATGCGGGGCGACGGGCTCAGCCCGATCAGGCGCGACGAGTAGATGCAGGACGGCGGGCTCGGCCCAATCAGGTGCGACGAGCAGATGCGGGGCGACGGGCTACAACCCGAAATGAAGCGCGATGAGCTGAGCGACGGGTGGAAATATGGCGACAAGAGCCGGGAAGCGCGAGCACTAGATCGGAGGAGAAAAACAGAACGTACTTAGGAGTGTGACGACTTACTACGGAGAGAGCAAACTAGAGCACACAAGCAAGGCTCCGGCGGAGCGAGAGGATCATGAGCTGCATGGACGGGAATAGAGCTCTGATACCAAGTCAGAAACTGAGAACTTAATTGATTGAATGAGAAAGAGCATACATACTTAAGTACCGAGCACAGGAGAGGATGGGAAGGGATAAGAGTGAATCGGAGGGAATTCTAAGGGAATCCTCCCAAATCGTGGGGATTTGGAATGGATTGGCTTGGGATAGGTTGGGGATGAAAACAAAGCTACACCCAACCTAAAAAATATGCCTAACCCTAAAACCAACAAATTACTAACACACAAAGTTGTGCCAACCGAATTGCAACCTATCTCCAAGAAATACGGCCTACCTAAATCTTTGAAGGTATGAAATTTCAATTGCCGCAGTATCAAATACTTTGACACCTTGCGCACTCATGCTCTGCCATCCTCCCTATAGAGTCTGCCAACAGTATGCACCAGTAATGGTAGATGACACCTAATTCACACCTTGCGCACTCATGCTCTGCCATCCTCCCTATAGAGTATGCCAATAGTATGCACTAGTACTGGTAAATGACACCTAATTCACACCTTGCGCACTCATGCTTTGCCACTGCCATCCTCTCTATAGAGTCTTCCAAACCAGCAGTATCTAGCGATAGATGGTATGGTACTTGACCATACATTGACGTACAAAAGTGCGGTCTGGCGCGTCTCCTTGTGAGTCCACTCAAAGTGTACAGTACATCATCCCTACGTGACGTGAACCTTGTATGATTGTCTGATAGCTTTACGTGCGCAAGGTTTACATCATTGTAAGGAAATGGTATTTCCTTGTCACGGGTTTTAGTTAGTAAGGCGTACACTGCTATAACGGGGTTGCTGCGCAGCTCTACCATGAAATTCAAATAGCGGTACCCAAATGTGGCCTCTTGACAAGCCGCATGCAATTTGCCCGCCTTGCTGTTTCATGCCTAGATCTGGGCGCTTCGCGCCAAATTACGAACCACGCGTTGCAGCTCTGCCGAGCCACGACCGTGTGCTCTAGGCTAGCTATATCCATGGTCCCTGCTGCTGTGATCTTGCCTCAGTTGTATTGTTTCCTTGTTACTCAATCCTTTGACACACGCTCTTTGCGCTTCATTACACCCGGCCATCAGAGCCAATGATCCTGAGCCTTGCGCTCTAGTTCCGCTTCAATACTGACACTTAGGGGGGCTGACGCCCTGTGCTTACTGCATATCCGCTGTTCTTGTAATATTAATTGATAATTACCTACAGCCACGACTGTGTTGGCCGGGTCAGCTTGCCGAAAGCCGCCCAAAAGTGCTACGAATGGTGGAGTCATCGACGTCTAATGCCATGACTCCTGAAGAAAGGGTGGCAGCACTTGAAGAAGTCCGTCTTACCCACGAGTTGTACCAGCACGAGTTGGCATGTCTGCGAGCTGAAACAACCCAAGTTAAATCTGAGATATCTGCACTTCGGAGCTGACTGCCTCATTCATGACACGACACGATCGCACCGACAACAAACCAAGTACAACGGGAGCAAGTAGCCCAGCAGCGTTCCGAAATATCTAGCAACAATCAGCGACCACATGTGGCTTTGCGTGAGGGTTCGACGAACAACCTGCCACTGGCTATTGGACGAGCGGAAGTTGGCGAAAGGACGAACGTAAAACGGCCGCCCCCAATTACCTCTCCATCTGGCTTGCAAACTGCGAACACCAACATGGCACCGGGAATTCTCAAGACGCAGAGGCCGCCCACGTTCGATCCGAGCCACCGTGGCAATTTGTCTGTCAGCGGGTGGATCTTCTACCTGAACGTTTTTTACGACTGTAATCTCGTCAGCGACGACGCGCAGAAAATCCGGTACGCAGTGTCATTCCTACCTGGCCACGGCGATGGATTAGTGGCAGCACATAATTTAGTCGCAGGCGCCAGATACGATGTCGCACGTGATCGAGCGTTTTCGCACGACCAATCACTGGGCAGGAAGTTATTGCAAGGTGGACGAGTACAGCACATGGCAATCGTGGTGCGTGGAAATTCGTCGCCGCATCGAGCGCGGCCGAGCGCGCGACCGCCTTCGCACGTGGCGCCAACTCGGATCGGTCCAGGACTACACCAGCGCCTTCAAGAATCTATGCGACCAGGTCGCCTACATTTACCCTGACAAGAAGTTTGACAAATTTATCAAGGGACTTTCGAACGGATCTGCGCAAAGAAATACCAATCAGAGAAATTACATATTTGATAGAGGCGCAGAGGATTGCATAGCGATTAGATTCGTTCTACAGACTAAGGGTGGATTCCTATGACGGACATCGCAATCGGGGACCAATCGAGCGTGCCACTGTACACGTTGTTACAATATCGAACTCAGCAATTACATCCTTCAAGGGTTGCTGTTTCGGGTGTAAAAGGCTGGGACACTGCAAGTCATGCCCAGAGGAGCGGAAGAAGCGGAAATAGGGGCAGAGGAGTTCCACCGATCAGGGAAACACATAGTATCAGTAGTTAACGGGCCTACTACTGATGGAACCTGCTCGCCCGTGACCAACAAGCCTCATCGAGTACTGGCACTAATCCACGCAATCGACCAAACTCGGCTGAATAAGGAGGGTGCAGCGGCATATTACCCCATTTATCTAGTGGGTCGGATTCAAGGGGAAAATTTTAAAATCTTAGTGGACGGGGGAGCTGGCCACAGCCTGATCAACCTCGTCACGACCAAAAAATTATGTTACCCTTAGATAGGTGTCTACCGGAGATTGTCGCCTGACTAGTCGATGGGACCCCACTAGCCATAAAAGACAGGACGAAGAGGATAAGGGTACGCTGCGGAGCTGAACTCAATTTTTCGATGGGGATGCTGGCAAGTACACTCGACGGTTTTAACATGTTGCTGGGACAAGATGGGTTGCGATGTTTCAATTCGAAAATTGACTGGACAACCAGCAGCTGTTCCATTAAGATCAACGGTCGTAGTGTGACGTTACCTGAATGGACGAAGGGGACCACAGGGAGAGTGATGCAGGTGAACTCCATGGCGATCAAACGAGCGGTCGTACGGGGCACAAAAGTCTTCACTGTAGTCGTTCGCGCCGTCGACGTGGCATCGCAACCGCCCGGTTTAGAGAAAGTGACAGCAGCAGTGCCGGCCGATCTCGCGCAGATGATTTGCAGATTTCCACAGATATTTCCGGACGAACTGCCCAAGGGATTACCACAGGAACGATCCATTGACCATCGAATAGAATTAGAATTGGGGACACAACCCATAGTGCAGCGGCAATTTCAATTAACACAGCCATAGTGAGTTAGAGGAATAACGGAAGCAGCTAGATTATTTACTGGAAAAAAAAAAAAAAATCATCTGCCCGAGCTCCTCACCATTTGCCGCCCCCATGTTGTTCACCCCGAAGAAAGACGGCATGTACCGAATGTGCACTAACTATAGAGCACTGAACAGGGTGACTATCAAGTCACGTTACCCCATCCCGCGCGCCGACGAACTGATCGACCAACTTCTCAAAGCTCTCTTCTTCTCAAAAATAGATTTACGAGGGGGTTACCACCAGATTCGCGTAGTCCCAGCTG